GGTTGGAGGAGGAAGAGATCATATATAAATGGGGAGATTAAGGAAGGTTTAATGGAGAAGGTGATGTTTGAGGTAGGCCTAGAAGAACATTTGTAATTTAGGCTGGTGGGAATGGTGTTGCAAGTACTATTGGCTTTGGGAACAGCATAAGCAGAGGCATGGAAGTGGGAAACTGAAAGGAGTTTTAGGGGAAATGAATAACAAATTCTTAAAATAACAATCGCTCCTCATAAGAATTTAGGTTAATAAATATACCAACCTGCCACAGTAAGTTTTCCAGATGTCATATTTTCTCCCGCATAAAATGTATATTTTCCTTCATCATCTTTCATCATATTTAGAACTGTCAGTTTATATATTTTTCCGTGTGCTTCGATTTTATATTTAGAACTGGGTTTGATTTCCTTGTCCTTAAAATTCCACAAGACATCAATTCCAGAGTGGGACAGCTCAACCTCAAACACCACATTTTGAGTTTCTGTACAGGTAAGGTCACGAAGACCTCTGATAATTTTAATTTCTGGGGAAAAAATAAAATAATCTCTTGGTTATTACTACACTGAGAAAGTAGAATGCTTAAAGTAATTAGTAGATAAGTAGAATAATCCTTACTTTCTACAGAGAGATTACAGTTGGTTTCAACTCTGCCAACTATCAGCTTGTAGGGTCCTTCGTCTGAAGCGTGAGTTCGGTTAATGACTAGCCGCTGTTTAGTACCTTTTACAATGGCATGCACACGGTCATCAGGCTTGATTTGTTCATCATTTAAGTACCACTTAACAGAAGTCACATCAGGGACTGAGACCTTACATTCAAGCACAGCCTTTGTGCCTTCAATCACATTAACATCTTTTAGAGGTGTTATCACGTCCACACCTGCAAAATCATACACACACAAGATGAATGAATTTTGTTGAAATTGTCTGCTCCTTGAAGTTCTTTATGTTGCTTGATAGTGTAAACATAAAATTGTATAAGTAGGACTCACTATAGACAGAGACACGCCCACTGGTGGAGAGGCCAAGGGCTGGAATGGTGAAAGAGTAATTTCCAGCATCTTCCTTAGTCATGTCTTCAATGAGCAGCATATGAGATTGTTTGTCTATCACAATGTGAACCCTGTCACTGGGCTGCACTTCTTGGCCGTCTTTCATCCAGACACCTTCCACACTTTCCAAGGAGACTTTAACTTCAAGCTGAACAATGTCACCCTCACAGACTTTTTGGTCACTAAGTCCTTGTAGGATAGCAATGGGGCGGGCTGTGAAATATGGGGAGAAAAAGAATGTTATGATCATTTTTTATCAATAAACCATAATGATGCTCACTGCAGGCTGACAGGAATGGGAAGACTTACGTTTCATCTTTAGTTTACAGGTTGTCTTTTTTCCGTCAATGACAAAGCTGTATTCTCCCTGGTCCTCCTTGGTTACGTCCTTGACTGTGAGGTTCTGACGTCCACGACGAGATGTAATTGTGTATTTGCCATTGGATTTAAGCTCCACATTGTTATGATACCATTTTCCTTCTATATTTTCTGGGGATACAATACACTCTAATTCTCCTGAATATGATTCTGGAACTTCTATGTCCTCAAGTTCCTTCACAAACTCAACAACTGCACCTGAAGTGTATAACAGAAAAAGAAATCATTTTTTTTGGAGAGGTATGCATCTAGACTTAGGATAGAGACAATGTCTTGTATATCTCTTATCTCCCCCATACTATCAGGAATATTCTTAATATCTACCTGCTAATGGGCTGAGAGATAAATTTTCAATGAGAAGCAGTTATTTTATTTTAATTTTTAAATATTTTTGAAAGTAAAGAATTATGTTTTAATAAAAATCTTAAAAGCTAAAAATCAAGATAATACTACTTAAAAAAATCCAAATGGTCAAATTATTAACATTCTTAATTAGGAACATAAATTTATGATTCTGGCTATGAAACTTATAGCCAATTTCCAAATAATTGTTTTATGAAAGAAAAATTGCATAGCTAATTTGACCACATGCTAAGGGTGACCTTAGAGCTTAGGTAAACAATGAAATCCTTTGTTGTTGAATACCTTCAACAATAAGTTTAGCAGTTGTTTTGATATTTTCATCTTCCACAAGTACACAGCTGTAATCTTCAGCATCAGACATATCAATGGTCAGTATGGAGAGGAAGTGAACCTTTCTGTCAGAGTGCATCCTGTATTTATCTCCCTCATGAACCTCCATACCATCTTTATACCATTTCACTTTGACAAATGGTTCTGAAGTTTCACATTCAAAGGTTGCCATAGTATCTTTTTCCTTAGCAACAACATCTTGTAATTCCTGTGTGAAAGTGATCAATTGCTTGGCTACAAGAAAAAGGTGGGGGGAAAAGGGGAGAGCACATTATATTAAATTAAATTCGCAACCTGAGGAATGGGGAAAGAAAATAAAAGTAAACGCACTCATGGATATTCTTGAATACAAAGACAGGTCCATCAAAGGAAAGACATGCAAATTACCTTGGACAAGTAAGAATGCGTGACTGGAGGTTTCTCCAGCTATGTTGATGGCTTTTACCATGATGCTGGCAGAGTCCTCAGCAGTCACATCTCTTATGACCAATTCACAAACATTGTCTTCGGGCCAGTACCAGTAGATCCGGTCAGACCGTTCAATTTTGACACCATTTTTGTACCATTCACATTCAGGGTCTGGTTTCCCCACGACTCTGACCCGGAAGTGTGCATCAGATCCTTGGCCCACTGTTTGGCTTTGGATTCTTTCGAAGATTTTTGGAGCCTCCATACTAGGACTTAGTTCAATCTTATCAGGTTTAAAAGTTGGAATCGTGATTTTGCCTTCTTCGGCAAGAGCTTTCTTTTCCTCTTCAGTTAACTCTTTGGTCCAGTGGAGAAGTTCATCTTTTGTCTTCCTGAGGAGTTCCTCATAGGATTCATCTTTCTTTCGAGACTTGAGCTCCACAGCGGTAATGGCTTCATAATAGCCCTCTTCTGTTCTGCGCTTGAATTTACTGCGCAGCTCTTCCGACTCTTCGGGCACTTTTTCATGGGTAATTCTTTCAGCCCTTTTCAACTTCACAACTTCTTTGGTTTCAGTGGTGTCAACAGGTCTATCCACTTTTTGTACTTCAAACTGAAGCTTTCCTGGTTCGTGTACGTGAAACTCGGGCCTTGGTTCAGGAGCTCTCCTAAGAACAGACCTAAAATCTTCCCTCTGTTGAATCTCAAGCTTCACTTTATGCTCTATCACACCTTCAGGATTTTCTGCGGTGACCTTCACTTCACCTGTGTCATATGATTTGCAGTCCACGATGTCCAGGTAATGGATACCATCATAGCGAACTCTGAACCTTTTGCTTTTGCGAATGAGCTGTCCATTGAGGTACCAGTTGACTTTGGGCTGAGGGTAGCCTGTTACCCTGCAGCGGAACCTTGCAGTCTCCCCTTCAAGTACTCTAACTGGCTCTGGGAACAAGACAATGTCTGGCTTTTGCTTTTCTTTCTGATCTGTTGTTACACCTGTAAGTGCACCTTCATGAGCCATTCTCTCTAATTCTTCAATTCTCTGTAAGCCTTTCCTCCCCTCAGGCAACTGGGATTCTTCCACAAGACTTTTCTCATCTTTAACAATAAGGGTAGCAGATGTATGATCTGTTCCGTATTTGTTAGTGGCTCTGCAAGTAATGATACCACTGTCTCTAGAATATGCAACACCATAATCAAGGCTGCAGTACCCAAATTCATTGATCATACGGAGCCTGTTGGCTGCCTCAAGTGGCTTTCCATCATGGAGCCACTCCACCACCATCGTTGGGTCACCAATGGGTGTTAGCCTGCATTCAAAGTGGGCAGGTCCAAAGCGCTTAAGTCTTAAGGAGGTGAGTTTTTTCTTGAAGAATGGTTTCTGTTGTTTCTCTTTGTCATAGAGATCACCTTCTTCCCATTGCTCTTGACCATATCGCAAATGGAGGGGCTCCAGTTCTGGGGCTGCAATCTCCTTTGCTCTATATGTCCCCCTTGGGATGATTAATTTTCTCTCTGGTTCAGGCTCTGCAAACTCAACTTCAACATTTACTTTGCATCTTGTAGTGTCTCTGCCAGCTTTATTAATAGCAGTCGCGGTATACCAGGCAGAATCTTGGCTGACAGTGGAATCGATTTTAAGGGCAGCTTCTCCCTTGGTTCCTTCAATTCTATAAAAAGTTGGGGAGGGAATCATCAATATGGCAGGATAGCTTCCCTGGTTATTGGATTTGTATAATGAGCTTAGCTTTATTATTTCCAAACTTACCTGATTTTGGGATATTTATGAGGCACAATGATGTCACTGTTTTTCAACCATACAATGTCAGGGTTGGGGTTACCCGTAGCTCTGACTTTCATTTCAAGTCGGGAACCTTCCTTTACATTGAGATTTTTCAGTTTTTCTACAAACATTGGTTTTACCTGATGTTCCACAGCTGAAAGAGAAAGGTCGTGATTTAGAGGGAGTAAGGCTGAAATACCTGTTTATAATCCAAGTGATAAGAAAATTCATTTATTTTTATTTTATCTCATTTTACCTTCCACAGTTAAAATCACTGAAATTGAAGATCTGCCTGCCCTGTTTTGGGCAACCACAGTCCATTCCCCAGAATCACTGGGTGTGGCAGGGACAATAATTAGTGATTGAGTACCATCTTCTTTAATGACCACTTTATGGGTATAGTCATTGACAATTTGCTGGCCTGTGAAAATATGTTCAAAAGAAAGTAGATTTTAAAATAGTTTTTAAAAATTGTTAGACAGATATATAAGCTTGTTTTTGTGTTTTTATTATTCATGAGCAAAAACCTGTCATACTTACCATCATGAAACCAGAACGTCTCTGGCATAGGTCTACCAACAACCTTTAAGTCAAATCTGGCAGTTTGCCCTTCTAAACATTTGAAAGAAGCAGGTTTTAACACAAAGACTGGTTTATACAGTCTCTCAAGTTGTGACTCATCTGTCTCCTCCAGCCTACGTCCAGGGGACATTCTTGCAGGGGACATCCGTGCAGGAGACATCCTTGCAGGTGACATCCGTGCAGGAGACATGCGTATAGGAGACCTGCTCACTGAACGTGGAGAGAGAGATCTGTAAAACAAAGACAAACAATACTTTCATGAGGCCTAAAGAAAACTCAGCAAAACAAACTTCATTTTGTCTTATTCATTATTCATTATTCACGTTATTTTAGAATTTACTTCTTGCATGTATTAGAAGGCACCTCCAACTCATTCAGATCTAAAATAGAATATATTATTGTTACCCCCACAGCTATGTTTTTCCTATATTCTCAATTTTGGCTGGTAGTCATTCAGTACATCCAGGTACCCAGGTTCAAAAATCTTGGAATAATTCTCAATACTGTCTTTTCCTTACCACTTGGATTTAATCAGTCACTAGACTTTTTTGATTTAACTACCAAAACATCCTAATAAATGTTGGTTGGATAAGTAAACCAAATGAATACATTTATGGAAAAATAAAAAAATATATATTTTTTATCTCAGAGGAGGAAAACATAGAAATCAATTTGGAAACAAAACAAAGCAAAACAAGACTCTATCTACACATTGCAGCCAGACTGACTTGGAGTTTGAATGCTGGCACCACCACTTACAGGCTGGATGAATTAAGGCAATTTTCATAGATTCCCAGGGCCTCAGTGTTCCTATTTCCAAACCAATAATAGTCATCTTTTTATTGCAGGGCTGTTGTATAAATTTACATTTGTAAAAATCAGGTGTCAAATAAGAGCTATTGTGATATTATCTGTAGCACTAGGAAAATAAATAGTATGATACACTGATGAAAATTCTTTGTTCATCTTACATAGGGGCAAGAAATAAAAACTCTTGGCAATTGTTGGTGTTGCCACTGGTAAGTTTCTGTGCCATCTTAGCCCTCAATTTTTTTCTTACACAATAGCGATTTGCTACTAAGATATTTGATGTTTTGAAAACAATTTACATACTAAGTAACCCAAATTATTATAAGTCTTACCTGATTCTGCTCACTGGCTCTGGTGTGGGGATGTAAGTTGGAGCTCCAAGTGGTGCAGCAGGCTCCACATACAATTTCCCTGAGCAAATTGCATTTCCTTTAATATTGCTGGCAAATGCAGTGTAGATTCCTTCATCTTCTGGAAGAACAACAGGTATACGCAGACTAGCTCTGCCATCTTGTAGAAAGTCCATTTGATATCTTTCTCCATGTTTGATGCGCTTGCCATCTTTGTACCAAGCAATCTGCAAAGAATACCATGCATGTATGAGTAAAATTTACATCAAATAGTTATACTGTAACCAACTTGTATCTTTACTGTGGCAAGGAGGTATTATAAATGTTTATATTTTACCTTTGGTAATGGATATCCAGACATCTTGCAATGAAAAGTGACACCCATCCCCTCAAGAATTCTATAATTCTTGATTCTTAACTCAAATCCTGATTCAACAGCTTCAGATTCAGAAATGTCAACTGCCATCTTTTCTTCTCCATCTTCTTCAAGAAGTTCTTCTAATGTAGTCTTTATTATTCTATATTCAATTTCTTTAATAAGTCTCTCTTCAAAGGAAGAAATATGGAATTCCTATGCAAAGAAGATTATGGTCTGTTAAAAATACTTATCCTTACTGATGGAAATTATTTAAGGATATGTATCTGAGCTAGATTGTTGAAGTTTTTAGCTGGGAGAAGAATCTAGAAGACTTTGGTTTGTTTGTTTTAATCTGCATTATGGTCACCTTTCCCACTGAATGCTGTGGCATCTTGGGTAGAAAGGTTTTTCCAAAAAAGCAGGAGTTAGAGTTGGGTTAGAGGTTACATTAGCTTATCATACAGATGAAGAGATCTTGGCATTGATGAACTTAGCTCTACTAATATTGGTCTTTTCCTTAATATATTATAAACCCTGTTTCTAAAGCCACATTTATGGCATATATGTAATCTCTATTTCTAAACTCACAGGTGCAACATACCATGAAGATTAAGGCAACTTAGCAGCAGTGAACTTTGACCTACTAATAATTGTCTAACCCTGAGCTCATCACTTGAAAATGAAAATATCAAACAAAAAAAGGAAAGTATAATTTATGAAATTGGTTGGTTGGTCATTATTTTTATACTCACCTGATCTTCTACATATGTTCTGACCATTACAGTATCTTTGGCCATTTTCTTCCTAATTAAGGCTTGTTCTTTTTCATACTCTTTTTCATACTCAGAGTATACAAATCCAGGGGCTGTTTCTCCAACTTTGGGTTCTTGAACAAATGCAGTCACTTGTGTCTGGTAAAGCATTTCTTGCTGGGACTTCATCAGTGACTCATAATCAGCTAAGAGTTAAGAACGTAAGTTAATTTTTAATATTCTTACTAAAAAACATTCATGCCACTATGCATTCAGGTAAACTCTACATTGGGGAAAGTTGATAACCAAAAGCCAAATTTTCCAAATATCTACTATTGACGTGCTCAATATTTTCTAGATGGAATTTGGAAACCAAACTTACACTAACAAATCAAATCAGCCACTACAATTGTAGAAAGAATTTTGTATTAGCAGTCAGTTTTGGGGGGATCTACCATGGAGGTCTTCCTAATCTGCTGTGTGGCTTTTAACAATTCATTTACCTTCCTGAATCTTGAGTGCTTTTTTGGCTAAATGAAGATAATATTGTAATTTCCTCTAAGGGATACTGTGTAGATCAAATGAAACAGAGTGCGAACCAGTTCACTGTAAATGTGAACAGTCTAGCATGAAAGCTATTGCATTTGTTTTCAAGTTATAAACATTGAAAATCCTGACTTCCAGGTTTTCTTTAAAGTATCAGGAGCAACACTGAGTCTGGTAACAATCTGGTGCATGCCTGGTAACAGCCTGGTGCATGCCGGGCAACAACACAGCTACTGTCTCTTTGAGGCAGGGCACCTACTCTCCAGTTTGCCACTGTTTTCATTGCGCTCACTGTTACCTGCCTGGGCCTGGAAGGCAACTGGATTTAGAATCTGTGCATTTTCGGAGGCATGATATGCCTAGAAACAAACATACCAAACAGAAACTATTGCTAGAACCTCAGAAGTTTAATGCCAGTATAGTTTTTGAGGCCATGTGGTCTAAAGTATTTTCCATACAACTGAGGCAAAGACACTGGGGCAAAGTATCAGAACCAGTAAATGGCAACAGGTTTTTCAGCAAACGGACAGCACTGCTATCTCCTTGTATTTCAGATCTTATCATGCACGTAGAAACTACAGTTGCACTTACCTTCTTCAAGCAAGGAAGCAGATGCAGAAATTTCTCCATGCTTATTACGAACAACAATAGTGTATTCTCCAGCATCATCAGCAAAAGTCATAGAAATTACTAGCTTGCATTCACCGGTTTGTTTGTTGTAACTCACTTTGTATCTTTAGATAAATGTACAAAATTGAAAAATCAGTTATAAACAACCCTTCTGTGGGTAAAATAATTGGACTTATCTGTGAGTGGATCTGTGGTATAAAATTCAATGACCCTAAACATACGACTAAGCTCCACAATAGATTATAAGATTGCTGAAAATTGAGAAAAATGCAAGAACATGAGTAATTAGGGCCCAATAAGTTAAAATATTCATTTTAAAGAATATTTATTGCTAGAATCAGTCATGAAATTAAGTGGTTTTTGGTGTTTACATTAGCAAATGATCAGGTCACTTAAACAACAGGTATTTTCTCTTCGTTTGTTATTTTGTTCATTATTTCATTCAGAGATCAAATGAATAATTAAAACAATAAATTCCTTTAAATATTTCAGTATTAACTCTCTGGTACATTATATTTATTATTATTAAGGTATGGCACCTACATTTTTAGATTACCAGGTTGCTCTTTTTATCTTAAGTTGCAAAATATTCAGAGCTAAATTTTGTATTGAATTGAAGAAAAATTAGTAGCATAGATTTTTGTGCATAACTAGCTTTCTTCTTCATTACATGGCCCCTATTCTTCTATCTTTTAGTTACTTAGTTATTACATGTTTTTATTGAAAGTTGTCTCAAATCTTTTCTGGAAGTGTGTATGTGTGAAAATTCATATTTTCTCTACTTTCACAACCTCAATGAATTAAACTATAATGTAAATAAATATATCTTCCATCCACTTTTGTCACATAGCTTTATTTCTTAGGAAGACTTTGCACAAAAAATGTAAAAATACCTCAAAACAAAGATGGCTCCACAATGAAAGAGCCTACGCTCAGGGTCGGTGGGGTAAGTAAATTCTACTCTAGGCTTCATGCAAATATTATACAAGTCACAGAGAACTCTATATTCAGCCATCAAAATACCTGTATCCAGTGGTCAGAGGAACACCAGATTTTTTCCAGTACACATGGGGCTTTGGGTTGCCACCAACTTGGCATCCAAACACCACGCTCCCACCTTCCACCAGTTTCTGGACCACTGGTTTTGTAATAAAGTAAGGCGCAGCAGGTTCTCCAGGCCCTGCTTGTTCCTCTGTGATGCTAGTATCAGTCATAACCACATCTCTTGACTCAACAAAGCTGGAAAGAGAATTCCCCTCATATTAGTTTCTGAGTTGCAATTTGCCAATACTGACGGGGCTGAAAGTCAAAACTACTAGAACAGCTACTAATTAGCAAAATGTTTTACCGTTTCTCTTCTGTGGTAAATTTCTCAGTCACGGCTGTGGTTTCCTTTTCAAATTCTTCTGACACTAAAAGAAGACAAAAGTTTCTCATTGAGATGAGATGTTTAGTGACCCCGCTTAGCGCTGACAGTTAAATTGACCATATAATCTACCCCCCAGTTCCAAAAAGGGACATCATTTCAAGGTGCGCAGAAACCGTATTATGGAAAAGAATGTCACATGAAAGTGATGGCATGTGCATTAGGACTGTGGGAGGAGTGGCCACTAACCCTGCACAGCCAGATAGCAGGATGTGCTGACGGTTCCAGCCTCATTAACAGCACTGCAGGTAAATCGCCCGCTGTCTTCCGCAAACGCTTCGCGAATCATAAGACGAGCGATTCCACTCTGGAAGGTTATCTGGAAGTCAATGGAACTTTCGATTTGGTAGTCTTCCCTGTACCATGTCACTGTCGGGGATGGGTATCCAGAGATGTGGCACTCCAAGGTGACAGATTCACCTTCTATGACTGTCACATTTTTTAAGCCCTGAAGAGAGAAGAAAAATAAATAATGATACGTGTGCATATTTATTAATCATTTCTGTTTTGTAACAAATGTGGAGTTTGAACTTACACATTTCAACTGCCACAAAATGGCCTTTTAATCAGGACTCCAGAAATAGTAGTAGAGAGACTAATATTTATGTAATATACTAATATATTAGTAAAGAGCTGTAAGGCTCAATAGCAAATGCTACCTGTTCAACAAAGCTTTGCCATGGTATCACCCACTGGAATGAATCTATCCCTCCCATGGATTCTCCCTCTGTTGTGGTGCTTATCACCTTATATATTTTATTATGCTCGTTTATGTACATTTTCTCTGATGGCAAAGAAAATATTTCAAAGAGGGATGGAGGGATGGATTGGTCTTTATGTCTCCACAGCTCCTGCAATAATGCCTTTTGCATATGAGAAGCGCATTAAATCTTTTGAATCCATGAATGATGTACCCCATAGAATTCCCCTCTTCCTTGCCAATATGGTCAAATATGGTCTTAAAATGAGCATCTGTACGCTCACTAACGTCATTTTGTATTAATTTGAGAAACTGATCTTTTCAAACATGTATTAAAATGATTTGAGCAGATATGAATAGGGTCCAACATAATCAACTTCTTTACTCACCGAGACCAAAGTTGGTGGAGTAACAGGAATTTCAGCAGGTGCTGGTACTCTTGCTGTTTCTGTTACCTAGATTTTTACAGATTATATTACAAAATGCTCATGAAATTAAGGGAAATCTCATAAACTCTTAGCTCATGCCACATTATAAAAATAATTTGAGAAAATGATCTCTGACCCATACTGTGCTCCACAAAAATCAAGTCTTAGCGTGGTAAAGGAGAAAGGCAAGACTCCGCTGGCTACTTTTCAGTACAAACTAGCCAACCACCTGGCCCTGCTCAATGGGAATGGGCCAAGCAACAGCGGGTAACCAGTGACCAACCTTGGCTTCGCGCCCGTGCAGTACTTCAAAGCGCTCTTCACGGACGGTGGCGCCAGTGATGCTCACCCCTACTTCCTTTTTCACCTCAACGCCAGCTTGACTCTTGTAAGTATCTGGCGTGTCAGCGAAGGGGAACTGTGGCGAGGGTGTGGGCTCTGCCTTTACTCTAGTCTCACTGGGCTTCACAGTAGGAGCCTTCACCGATTTGGTGATCTTCTGAGCAGAAGATGCGGCTGACAACTCTTTTTGTAATGTGGCAATAGCACTACCGGCTATTGATGCCTACATGGAAACAGAGTCAGAAAATAAAGTCACTTAACCATTCTCAGATGGCTAACCCTCTGGGACTGAGTCTCAGCCTATTTCTATAAGGTCCGTTTTTTAATGTTCTCGTTATCATTCATTATCACACAGTTAATGAAAAGTCAGTTAGAGATAAGCCAATTATAAAGCTCCTCGTCATGCCTGTTAGTTTGTAAAACAAATTTTAAATATCTTTTTTAAAGAGTTGTATTCAGAACTCCTTATTTTACAGCTTTTATCATAAAAGGACGGCGTCTTCTAAAGCTTAGTCATGAATTTTCACTTGACCATTCCGATGAATGCCACTTTCGAATATGCCACAGTGGGAGATTCAAAATTAAGAAATTATTGAAATTGTTGGTAAATTCCTAAGAACTACTTTGCAATAGTACATTTGAGTTTTAGCCACAAATCTATGTGAAAGGTGAACATGGAGACATTCAGACAAAATATTTTAAAGGTTTCCTTACTGCTTTTATTCTGTTGCGGTCTATGGTTATTTGTTTTGTAATTTGGGACTAAATTGAATACAGGCATTATATGTAACTTACAGTTCTTTGAAACCATAGAAGGTTTGGGTTCTATTTCTTGGATATGTATGATAACAATAGTGATTAATATCAAGGATTTATTACATGCTGACAACTTGTTAAGGTTTTTATATACTTTTTACTTGCATTTTACATGTACATTTACTTTCTCCTGATGACAGAGGTTATAAGGGGGAAGATAGGGCACTAATCCAGAGCTATTTGATTCCACAATCCAACCCAACCACCATATAGTACCACCTCTCCATCTTGCTATATTGAGTATATAAATATATGATTTCTCAATGCCTGTCTTTATTATTGAAACACATTCGCAGTTAAGTTACTCTGAAATGTCTCACAGCATAAGTAAAACTATGCTGTGTAATATACTACTTTCACAAAATCATCAGAACAACAGTAAAACAATTGAGTTTGAGCTGTCCCTGAAATGTGAACTAGAGAGAAGCCTGTGTGGATTTGTGTCTCCTCAGAGGTATAAGATAACCACTTGTGACTCTAGGCTCACTCTCCTGGGCAAGTTTCAGAAATCAAAAATTTAGGGCATCTGGGCCCACTGTGAATGCACACACACACACACACATCACCAAAAAAAGCCTCAATTGGCCTACTCTAAAGATGCTCTATTTCACAGGTTAGATACTTATTTCCTTTAAACATTTCTGTATCATGCTCTGTAACTTCTTACCTCATATCCATGTTCTGTCTTAGGAACAGAAATTTTTGAAACAGTAAAGTGAGGGCTAGCTGTGCGGGGGCGTTTATCCACATGGACTAATCTTTCCGTTGTTAGATCTGTAGTTTTCTTGATCTGCATTGAAATGAAACTCAGTGATACCATTGATCACCAATGACCACAGCAGTGAGGCTTGCTTTACCATGAACAAGGTGAAAAATCAGCAGGTATAGACTCACCTGTGATGATATGTGCATTCCCATTTGATCAGTAGTTTTGATATGAGTCTCAGAAGGAGCCTGGATTACTACAGGCTTGACTGCTTTAGGGACAACGTGGGGTTCTGAGGCTGGACGTTGGGGAGGCTCAGCTACCTTTGCGGCGGAAATACGTTCCTTATATCCGTACTCCAAAGTGGTCTGCTGAGCATAGGATTCTTCAAGACGCCCAGGCTCTCTGGGCTCTCTGACTCGGGCTTGGTCTACTGCAGCAACAACTGTTGCTACAGCTTCAGCCTTTTTTCCAACATCCACCTAGAGACAAGGGTTCCAGAATTAATACACAGGAATATCAAGATGAGGCTGGAACATCTCCTAGGCATCAGGACAGGCAAATGGCTAAAGGCGTGATAGGTAGATGGCATCCACGTTATACAGCAGTGTTAATGTGTCTAGAAATGTATCTCAGAAACACTTTTAGGGACTATTTCATTGATTATTATATTGTACAGACATCGATTTAGATCCACTCTCTGTACATCTGCTTAATTATACTAGACATTAAATCACATAGACACAACATAGGACAATCACAATATGACCATAAAATCATAAGGAGATTTTGACATTTTGTAGAATTTTTCCAGGCAGAGAGTCAATCAGCAATTGGAAAATCAGAATTTTGGAGCTGGTTCTCCTCACTGATTATTTTTATTATCTTGTTGACCATTTAGTCTGAGGTTAATGCAATGACAGTGGTGATATAAGTGCACTCAAATACCATCATCATCCCATCCAGAAAAATCAGTAACTACAGAGTTACATGGTTGCATGCAAATTGGACATAACATGAAAGCTCATAAACACAGAGTGAGCATATGAATTTACTTATGATTCCCTAAGGGTAAGATTTGTTTAATCTATTAGAAAATACCTGTCTCAAAACACACAGATGACAAAGAGAACCCCGTGCAAATGAAAATATTGTGATTAAAATGAAAGTGTTATCATGTTTGGATTCAAGAGAACAACCTTTCACATTGGTGTTTAATTTACTTTCATTATTATGGAGAGTTAAAGCAAAGAATGAAACAAATATTATTTTCTCGTTTCTGAGTCTGATGAACATAAATGGAAATAAAATTTGCAGAGTGGTTTCTCTTCTAAAGAAGGCAAACTAGCTGATGCGGCTTAGATATTATGATTCTATGTGATACTTGGAAACAGCACACCACAAAAATCACGTAGCCATGTTCATCCAGTGCTTTTTAAAAGTAAGATTGGAAAATTTTATTAATGTTCAGTTTTCTATATCTGTGAATAGAATCTAGAATGAATCGGAAACATTCTTCAACTATGCTACCTGTATATCTTTAAAAATTGTTCTCTGAACTATTTACGATATAAATGAGATTTTTCTGAGATAGAATTGGGTCTTTAGTGATCATGGGCTTTATCCAGGGCTTCCTTTTAGGAAGACACAAACAATTTCATCTGCCTCGAAGGACTGCAAATACCATCTTCACTTTAGATTGCATCATCTCAGAAGAAAACATAAAATATACATGAGGCTTAGGTGAGTTAAGTTTGTCCATTTATTTGTTTCTTTTTTAAAAACTATATTGGCAATGAGCTGACTTTAATTGTCTAGACGTTTTAAAATGTTAACATCTTCGACAGATAACACTAAATAAATATATATTATTTTGATTGTAGAGTGATCACATTTCCACCATATCTCATTTGAAACTTTTAGCCAGTCTGATATGAAGTAGTCAGGTTAAGTCTTAATTTTATTTTAACAATGATAAAAGAAACTGTCAAAGAAACTGTCATTTGACTAAATATCACACAACTGAAATATTTAAATTTTGTTCTTAATTTTAAACATATGGAAAAATCTTAATCATGGTAGAATATTTTAAATTGAGGAAACATCTGTCTGTTTTTTCCTTGAATTATTGTATATCAAATTTATATACACACACTTATTGGTGGACTACAAATGAGTACGCTGGTAACTGCTTTTATTTCTTAGTGGACTTTGGTATCTCTCATGTTTGTAACCTAGAGAAGCAGGAAGACAATTTGGACTCGAATATACCAGTTCATACCAGGTAAATGCTGAGAATAAATTTAGGAGACATAAAGAAGAGTATTATATAGTCTGACTTTTCACTACTAGAAATGCTCACTGTTCAACTGGAGGATGGACTGAATCTAACCATCTCTACTGTTTTATTGATCAGTCAAGCAATTAGATGGAACACTGGAAGCACAGTTCATGACGGATGAAAAGTTATGGGAGTTGATGATGAAATGGGATGAAACAATACTTGTCACCTCCATTGCATCAGTTTTCATCTCTTCTTGGAAAAGATGTATTTTTTCTTGTTTAACAGCAAATACTTCTCTAGTTGTTGGCGGTGCGGCTGATTCAGCAGATTTTGCAGTGGTAACTACTACTTTAGGTATAAACATTTTCTCAGCTTCCATCCTTAGCTATTTTTAACAAGAATAAGATAGTGAATTCATGACAAAATTTGAATGGAAACAAAAATAAAAACTTAATCACTCATGAAGTATGTTGCATAGTGGAATTTCTATGATTTATGAGACTTCTGTAAGGCTGATATGCCATTAAATGTTAGACTTGAGTAAAGGTTTAAAAAGTTTATCTTATATCATGTCTTAGAAAAAAAAAAAGATGTAGAGTTAGAAAATGACATTGAGGGAAATACAAATAGGATTCAGGCCATCCTGCTAATGAAATGGGGAAACTTTAGTTGCTAATTTTCAAGTGGTATATTAGCAATAAAGAATACAATTAGGTAAATGGCTCATTTGGAGTAAATGATAGTCATGGGAAACAGTTTAATTCATGGATATTTCATAGCTACAAATAGATACAGTAATCTTTTCATGGCTTATGTGTAATTGTTCTGTTTGGATACTTCCTTCTCTAGATTTTAATATGCATCTTGTTTAGCTTTAGTGGGAGCTGCTACAGCAGGCATTATAATTTTTTCAGCTTATCTTCTCCTGTGATATTTATAGGAGGGAAAAAAGATAAAGTTTCATACAAAGAAAATTATGGGTAATTTACTGAAATAAGTCCATACTCCATAACATAATATACTGAATTTATGACCCCTCAAAACACATATCTTCTTGACAGTGATTAAGAGTCATCATTTACTTATACAACTTTGTGTTTTAAAAAATGTTCATGGGCCTCTTAAAATTAGCCTGCATGCAATTTTAATCAACTTCTGGAAGATTCCCAGATATTAATAAAATGTTGAAAATAATGGCGAAGAGATAAGTGGAGAAAGGGATGTGTAGTAATATTAACAATAAATCTTTTTTAGTTTCCAATTATTTAATTGTCTAAAAAATAAATTCGGTTAATAGTGACTCATACATAAGAAATTCAGAGATTTGATATTAATGTATTATAATAAGGAATTTCACATGATATGTGGTATTAATGTATTATAATAGGGGATTTCACACTTGGAACAACAATAGTCACCTTTCCATGGGTAACTTGGGTTTGTTCTTGTCTAGTAGCCATAGTTTCTCTAGTTCTCAGTATTGTTTCTTGTTCTTTGGCTTTAGCAGTAGCAACTGCTATTGTAGACAAGGCAGTTTTCTCAGCTTCCTTTCTCATCTGATTATTACAGTAAAATCAAGATTTAAGTTGAACAGGGCTTCGAACACACATAGTATGACCCTTCCCGCTTCCTCATGGTGATGCAAGATGGTTATTCAGGGTTAAATACACAAGAGAAATTAACTTTCACCTGGCAATGTCTACATATACTGACTGCAAATCACAAAACTTAGAAATGTTAGCTATTTAAAAACCTCTAGATGAGTCCCTATGTCGCTTTTTAAAAATTAAGCTAAAAAATGCTAATCTTCATGCAAAGAATAATGGTGAATAAAATGAATTATAAATGTTACCGAGGATGAAAATCAAATGTGCAGATAAAATTAATGATAATCAGTTGCATATTTACCGTTTTGTTTTTAGTTAGGGGTTTTAAAAGGCAAATACAGATTAATAATTCATACTACATTGTAGTTAATAGTTTACTAGAAATTAGTTTAAAGATGAACTTCTCACAGCTCAAATATCTGCATTCACCTTTTCCTGAGTTATTTGAACTTGTTCTCTTTTGGTAGCAATGCCTTCTCTACTTCTTGATACTAAATCTTGTTCTTTGACTTTGGGTGTGGCAACTATGACTTTAGGTACAACTGTTTTCCTAGTTTCCTTCATTATCTGATCACACACAAAAAGTAAGAAAATAGTCATTAATTCCATAAGTCTTTAATAAAAGAAACATAAGTCAAAAAGAAAGGAGGCAAAATTTCTTCCTATTCAAGGAAATTTTAATTACACTAAAATATATCATTTGAGCTGCTTTGATCATCCATACTGTTTCACTGGCAAAAATATCTAAACAATAAGTCCAGTTTAAAAGAAAAAAATGTGATTAACAATAAAAGACTAATGAGTGCTCTTTTGTATTTTTCACATTTTAAAAATTATAATCTATAAGACATTTCAATAGCACTGTAAATAGCACATTTTTTTGTATTATGAATTGACTTATTTACAGACATCTGCTTCAATAGGAAGATATTAAAGTGAATTATTATATTATATTAGTAACAAGCCAAAGAATGTCTGAAAGTTAGGAATGAATTGGCGGTGAAAGGTAGCTGTGTGGGGAAAGAAATTTTCTATTTGCATTATAAGAAGAGGTGAACGTGAAGAAGTGATGATTAAGATCCATGATGGAAATGTAGGTGATTTGCAAATGAAATGGTGCAAGAGTGACTTTCACATTGGCAGGAAGTCATCACCTTTTCATGACTTAGGTGCATTTGATCTTGTTGTGTGGCAGTTTCTTCTTGAGCTCCCAGGACTGTTTCTAGTTTTGTGGACTTTGCAGTGGCAACTACCACCATGGATGCAGCAGTTATCTCAGTTTCCTGTCTTATCTGATTTTTAGAGTAAAATAAAGATTTGAGTTTCAAAAGATACAAAAGAAATGGCACGACATCCTTGAAACATTCAGGAAAATACAGAATGCTTAGTGGTGAAAGATAAAATGTCAGATTTCCATTTTAGGGGCCTACACTTGTGCTTCAGACATAGACTGCTTTCCTGAGGTATGGTCTTCTTTTCTGCCCACATGCTCCTTAGCAAATTGTTCTAGAACTGAAAATATCTCATCTTAAGACGTGTTGACATGTTAGCGATCCTGGTGGTTGGCTGCTGACAAGTGGCTGGAAAACTATAGGCCAGCTGAACTTGCCAGTCACCAGCATTGCAATGGCCATGGGGATTTCTATGCCTTTGATTATGCCAAGTAGGGTTCTTGCTACATTCAAAGTGTCTCACTCACAGTAAGGAGAGGAAAATTCAGTCAGCAGCCTCTGGTCAGCCTTTTAAGTGTACAGGGTTCTCAACTGGACCTTTGAAGAAAGTAGCTCTAAGATCAGCAAAGAGCTTGAGTTCAAGGAGGATGAGCACAGGTGCCCTCTTCAACATGGAAGAATTCAGATAAATGCCTCTCTCCTGACACTTAAAGGCTTGATTTCACATACGGGAGAGACGTGGATTTTAATGATACTGAGATTGTCCTTACACAGCTCTAGGGCACAACAGCAGCAAACGCTTCTAGGTCACTGTTTATCAATCATGATTTGAAGGTTTTTTTTTTTTTTTTTTTTTTTTGAGGAAGTATTCGCTTTCGCCGATGTCTGGCATTTCCTCACTTTCCCTTGCTATTTATTTGGGGTGTTTATGGCTGATGTATGTGTGTGTGTGTGTGTGTGCGCATGTGCACACACATGATGTGTCTTACAACTATGTAAAGTTTGTGCATTACAATCTAAGTGACTGAGGGCTTAGGCTATGCACAAAGAAACCGACTGTCCCGGTGGGTAACTGGATTGGCATGATATCTATCATCCATTCATATATGGTCTAGAAAGTTCATAGATGTGCCCTAAACTGTTCTGTAGACAGTCTCCTGAAAACTGATCAAGTGAGTGGAAAATAGTGCAATGTGAACATAATTTCCATCTTGAGTTTCAATGCTAGACATAGAGGAACAATAACAAAAAATATACAACAAAAGACTTCTCCATTTGTGGGTTTCAGTTATAAGCTACCTGCAGCTGGCTGTAATGTGATATTGTCAACGAACTACAAAATATTTAGAAAATCGAACTTACTGTTTCTTGAGTTACTTGTTTTTGTTTCGTAGTAATTTCTCCAGAAATTCTAGTTTCTTGTTCTTTGGCTTTAGCTGCCGAAATTACTACCTTTGGTACAAATGTTTTTTCAGTTTCTTTTCTTATCTGCAAACAATGATTAAAAAAACTTTATTTCCTGATGCCCAATGAAATGATATGGTGTTTATTAAATATAACAACATAGGGATTTGAAGATGTAAAATCCCTTTTCTGGAGATGTCACTAAATAAAATAAATAATCTCATGTTCATAAATAAGATCATGCTCTTTCTCTCCCTCAACTGTACATTATGTAGGCTGCTTAGAGAAAACAAAGTTTAATTCAACACTTTGTTCTGAACAGGAGAATTGTAGTCGTCTTTAAAATGACTTCCAATTTTTACAAATAGATCTATGGCAATATTATTCTGTACTAATTCTGTCATCTAAAGGTAATCTTAGAATATATATCAGAATGGAAAGCTTTAGAAGTAATTTTGTCTGATCTTTTTATTTTCCATGTGAGAAATCAAGCACGGATAATTTATAATCTGCATTTATACAATAATTTTGTCTTGTCAATTTTCCTAAATACTGTGAAGAATGCTGTTTCCATCTGGGCATCTAAGTTATATGCGTGTATAAGGGGACAGTTTTCTCCATTTGCCTCTGTGCTGTTCTCAAATATCTCATCACTGAAACACAGAATCTCAAGGCTGAAAGAGACTTGAAAGTTCATCTTCTCAAACCACCCAACTGACAACTGGTTCCATTGGCCAAGAGCTTTACTAACTGGCCTTTTCCAATCTGTCCCCAAATGCTGCCAACCATGGGGCTGTCCTTTTCACCTTTTCTGGTCATTTGGCTTGTTAAGGCTATGCTGTCCATTCCACTTCAAACTCATGTGTAAATGTCTTCCCAAGTAGCCAGGAAGCAGTTGCTAAGATTCCTAAAGCAAAGTGAGTTCAGCGTCTCCTCCACTTTTCCCCATTCCTGCCTCTGCATTGATTTCTTCCTCCTGGTTTTACCCATCTGTCCTCTCCCTATAGTCATATACTTACATCCCCAGATCAATGTGGTGAGATCCCTGGTGTATGTTCACAGAGTTCTTTTTCATACTCATAAGGGGAGCATTCAGGGACACTACCAAACTTTGGTATCCAGTACCCAGAAATTTACACATACAACAAGGGGATTTTATTAGCACGCTAACAACCATATGGCCCAAAAAACAACACTCTTCATGGTAAAGGTGATTATCTGTGTTGACCCCTGTAAGAACCTCAGTGAATTTTAAATAGAAAACCATTTTCACCTGCTCATGAGTTACGTGCATCTGCTCTTGCTTTGTGGTAATTACTTCTCTGGTTCTTGATTTTAATTCTTGTTCCTTGGCTTTGTCGGCGGCCACTACTACCTTAGTTACAGCAGTCTTCTCCGCCTCCTTTCTCACCTGCTTTTCATAGAGGAAAGGAAGAAAACACTTTAATGCATCTTACATAAAAAGTTCAAGACCAGCCTGGCCAACATGGTGAAATCTTCTACTAAAAAATACAAAAATTAGCTGGGTGTGGTGGCGCACACCTGTAATCTCAGCTACTCACGAGACTGAGGCACAAGAATCACTCAAACCCAGGAGGTGGAGGCTGCAGTGAGCCGAGATCATGCCACTGCACTCCAGCCTGGGCGACAGAGCGAGACTCTGTCTCAAAAAAGAAAAAAGTTACAATAATCTGTCAGGATCTAGACATAAATGTCACACAAGAGAGGTAAGGAGGAAAGCTGGAATGATTTTAAACTATAACAGAAGATCTATTCAAATACGAGGTGGGACATTATCCTGGATTTATAACACTGTTCTAGCTATGAATCAAGTGTCATGTTTGTTTTGAGAAAAGTAAAAACAAAAGTCCTTTGGGGAAACTTAGAGAAATGTAATGCCTGCCCTGAAATAGTAGTTTCCATGTCCAGTGTGTGCAGTGACTGAGTTCTGGAATTGACTGCTCTCTGTTTCTCCGGCCACCCTTTGCCTACCTTGAATACCATAGTTGACTTTCGCCTGCTCATATAGCCCAGGTATTTCTGGCCTACGCTGCTCTTCTGATGTTCACATTGTCAACACCTTTGGTATCTCAGACCACCTTTTGCTCAGAAAGTTCTAAAAGTCTGGGCCCTGCTGGACTCAAGGCTGTCTTCAGAATGAATTGAGCACTGCTGCGTGCAAAGCTCAGTGGATGGTGGTTGAGTAAATGTGCACTGAAGGACGCGGCTCTGCGGGTGCCTCATGGCAGCCTCACACGTACCTGTTCTTGAGCAGGTTGGACGTGCACAGCAGTCGTGGTTGTCCTCTGAGCAGTCTGCTCTACAGCGCTGATCACTGGTTCTCTCACTCTGGCCATATCAACGGCAGCAACAACAGTCGCAACAGCTGCACTTTTGTCAGCATCTTGTTTCACCTAGATTAGAAATGACCAAGTAGATTACTTTTTAAAATGACATGCCCAGTAGAAAATAAAAAAGCATACTGGAAAACTGAGCTACCTAGAGCAAAATACACTCATATATAAGCATTTATTATTGCCAAGAAATATAGAGGCTGTATCATTAAACCCTGCACTTTATGGAAACTTCACAGATTGGAGCTTTTGTCCTAATTAAAAATGGTTTTACAAAGCATGACTACTGAATTTGGTCTTCAGTTGCTGCTATATTTTTATGTTCATATGCATTTTTCCTCCAATTTATACAGACTGAGTTTCTGGCAAAAATCCACTTGGAGAAACTAGAATGTGCAATAAGGAAAAACAAAACCATTCTGACAGTACCTCTTTAGCACCAGTGGCAACAGCCTCTGCTGCGTAGGTAGCACTGGCCGACACACTGGCGGCAGCACCCGCAGCGCCACTGATGGTCATTTGCTCCTGGATACCGTATCTCCCTTCCCATCTCTCTTCTGTCCTGATCTGAGTAGAGGTTGTCAGCGTTGTCTCTCTCATCTCAGCCTCAGATGAGGAGGCCACGTATCCCTCTTGCTTCCAAGGGGGTGGCACTTCGGGACCTGTGGCCATGGTGGATGCCTGAGTCTTACGCATGAGCAATGGAGACCTAACAGACCTGATGGGGGATGTGGAGATTCTTGCTGCCGGAGACACAGACCTGAAAACCAAAGGCAGAGGTCAAGAATGTCAAAGCAAGTAGAGGTAATTGGATGTGAATCATGGATGAAAATCTGGAAGTGCTTTAAGGCAGAGTTTTAAAATGTGTGCCTCCATAACCTATTCAGAGGGTAAATAATGTACTTGGAAGTAATCTGTTTTAAATCTCAATAAGCCTATTCTTATATGCTGTAACCCTGTAAGAGAATCAGCTTTAATTCCAAATAAGCTGGGGATTTTGTGCCCTGCACCTTCTCACATTTAAAAAAAAAAAATCACAACAGAAAAATCTACTTCTTTAATATGCAGCCAAAGACAAGACATGTCAAATCCAGCAACCTCTGTATTCCCAGTTCATCTCTGTATTTCAATTCTGGGGGGTTAGAGGATGTCTAATAGGTGTTATAAGAAGAAAGGTTTTTGTAATCAAAATGTTTGTGCCACTCTTGACTAAGCAGCTTAAGCCTCCCCCCTCCCCCTCTTGCAGGACTTCCCACAGCCTTTACTATGTCAGTATGCCTTGTGAATTTCCAGGACAGGAGGACACATTCTCAGGAAGCTTTCTGCAGCATGTTGCTGAATATAGGTTGTGCAGTGCACTTTGCAAATTGCTGCTTTAGCTAAAGTGTTTGTGGACAGCTACTTTTAATTTCCTCTGTATTTGTTTGCACATGCCCTCCTTGTATTGCACTCTGGACTTATTTTAAATATCTTTAGAGTTATTGTGGGAATTGACTAATTTAAAAACTAATGATTCTGTGATTTTTGGTTAAATTGATAAAGTTGCTTCTTCCAGAATAGTTTTCATTGTTTGCTTTTTAGATGTATCCAAAGTGCAAGTAGCATCAGTTGAAGAATATGGGTGCTAAATCCCAGCACTGATGGCCAAAAAAGACTATTTCTGATCTATAGCAATAATTCTGGGGATTGGACTACTATTGTAAGGTAAAATTTTTTTCAAAACTAATTTAATTCTTAATAAGGCTTATCACATTTTCCTCTCTAGGTGGCAGTATTGCCCTATCATTGCATTTTATTAATTCTGCATATAAGAAAATGTTTATAAATACATTCTGTCACTATCTAGGATATTTAGCTTACACTGATCATAAATGAAATGATTATTCTAATTAAGCTCAAGGTACAGTTGATATTTTCTGTAACTTACAGAGTACCTTAACAGTACATTACAACATTAACTGGTTTCACGAAGAAATGTTTATTTTCTCGAGGAAGGGCTTTTTTTTGTGTGAAAATCCATTTACATTTTGTAAATGAAATCGTAATCAAACTAAAGGAAAATCTAGGGAACAAGTCTCTTTTCTGAACACGACTGCCTTCGAAATATAACCAAAACCAAGTCAGAATAATGTGTGGTTTCCACTAACTGAAGAAAAGCAAAGAGACATGCACTTTTAAGTTTCAGCCTGTGCCTTGTTCTTGCTGTACTTAGTAAATGGGTTTAATTCGAAAACAGTTAAAGACAAGATTAGCATGACATGACTGATTAACAGCAGGTCACAGGTAAGCCCATAACTGTGAAAATCATCGTAATTTTGGTCATTATAGGAGAGTGCTTATTTCTGCACTTACAATAAAAAATAATCACCTGGTCACAGCAAGATACAATGCACCTTATTCAATGAAATATGTTTGCCTTTCAAGATTAAACTAGGAGATGTTTAGAAAGTAGTCTATTTTTGATAACCATTATTTTCTCTGCAAATTGGCATTTTATTTCTTAATTATTTGAAAGCAAAATTTAGGGGCAATTTGGATGGTTATTAATGAACTTTCAAAACTACTAAGATGGTCAAAATGCTCCATGGGATCAGGAACACTCCATGATTCTAAATGACCCTTAGGCTTGGGTTTTAAAATATAGTTAGGTTGTTATCTCCTCAAGAAATTGCATTTGGCTTGTGTTGTGATTTCATGGTGTGCAAACTTGGATTTAGCCTGAGACTGAACATTTTTTTTTATTCAACTGCTAGACATGTTTTTTAAAGTAAGCTTTTCGTTCAAGGTTTCATGTTAGTGTTTGCCAATATCTTTACATTTTTGTGGCTAAAACAATAAAAATTGGAAAACATCTAGCATTTTTTTCCCACATATTTATTGGACTTTTACATTGCCTCTCATGTGAAATACTTTTTTGTGTCTTTTGTCTTTTTTTATTTGTGTAGTATATTTTCCTTTAAAAATTAATTTATGGATGATTTTTAATGCATTTAGTGTATTAGTTATTTGTCATAAGTGTTACAAACATTCCTCCAGATCCATTTCTTTCATTTTGCTTGTTTATGGGTCTTATCCAGAATAAACATACATAATTGTGTATGCTATATACTGTTTCTAGGCTGGTATTGTCCACCTTGTAGCCATTTTATGTTTATTATGATACTTTAATGGCAGAGGCAATGAAGTACCTTGAGGAGGAGAAACCTCTTAAAATGTTTTCAAAAGTTCTGTTTGGTTTAGTGATGACCTTTTGCCATACATATATTTTGATTTTTATGTAGTTGAATCTGTAACTGTGTTTTTAAAAGCTTTCGCCCATAAATGCTTTTGCAAATTGTCTTCTCTCTTTTTTTTTCATTTTTTATTTTTTGACTATTTAATCAAGCTGAAATTTACTTTGTAAATAGTGAGAGGCAGAAGTTTGTGTTTGTTTGCTTCCAGATGGATAGCTAATTGGACCAGCATTCTTTATTAAAATACCTCTTCCTCCCCTGAATTGAAAGGTCACTTTGCTTTTTGAATTCCCTATATACTTGGACCTATTCTACTTGGGTCTCTTTCTGGACTCTCTGTTTTGTTCCCCCAGTGTATTTTTCTATTCATTTACCAATACCATACTGTTGTGATTATAGTAACTTTACAGTATGTTTGAATATTATTTAAGCCAACTATCTCCTTATTATTCTTTTATGAAAAATTTTATTGGCAGGGAACATCATGTGTTTTTTATTTCATTTAAATTGATCAATAAACACTTTTTGGTTTGCTCAAATTTTGTACATTTTTCATTTCATCATATTAAAAGTTTCATCATGATAAACTAAATCCCAAACTTTCAAAACTGTTGTGGACAATTTACACTTGATTATATAATTTCTGAGCCCTGATTATGATACATGATCACCTTCTAAAATACTTCCATATTAAGTAAGCATAGAAGTCCATTTTATTTTCTAGATAAAATAACACAAGCATATGCAAAATACTTAAAAGGTTTTACTTACTCTCTGAATATAAGAATATTGGCATAATTACTTTATATTTACAAGGCACTTTCAACTAATTATCTCATTGAACCCCCAAAATGCAGCTTGAGGTCATTCTTATTGTGATTCTCTTTAACTTACAGATGACACAACTGAAACCTTAAATAAACTACTTAACTTCTTTAATTCCAGTTATCTATCAATATAATTGAGGATAATAATTCTTACAGGTTGTGAACATTTAATAAGATAATGTATGTATAGTTCCAGTCTGACAGAGGAAGTGATCCATATATAGTAAAAATTATTTTATTATTTATACTTATTGCCCTAAATCAAACTGTTAAGTGATCAGGCTGATTTGTCCTTAGGGCTTTCAACTCTAACTTCTGTACTCTTCTCCTTTCATTGTGCCATATTTTGGCCCCTAAAGTAGATATTTATTACATGAAATATAAATAAGAATTCAGAAGTTTTTAAGGGTCTTCAATTTACCTGTGGACAGTGAGGATTTGTGAAAATCATATTCAGTAACTTCTTGGTTTACCTCCTTTGTCACCTGCTACATTTTTGATTGCATGAAACTTACACGGGAGGAGGGCTGGGAAGTGCTGGGAAGAGAAGGGCGTGGTCCCTAGCGAGACCTGTGCCCACCGACCTAGGTGAGGACAGGCACTGCTGCCTTCCTGCCCAAATGTTGCATTTCCCAAGATCACCCTGACCTGCCACGCCCCCACCCTATGCCTATAAAAACCCCTGAGACCCTAGTAGGTAGACACACAAGCGGCTGGATGTCCAGAGGAACACGGAGCCCCACAACCTGCCAGTTTTTATGCTCCCCTAGAGGTTTGAGCAGCGGGGAACACTGAAGAAGCGAGCCACTCTCCGCGTCTCTTGCCCTGCGAGGGGGCAAGGGAATCTTTCTCGTTTCAAAACCTAGTTCCAAAATGTGCAATAACCTGCTCTTTCTATGGAAGCTTTACCTGACCGGCGATGGGGTCGGTGCCCGCACGTGTCTGACCGGGGAAGGGGAGTGTCTTATGGGCGATGGGGACTGCTGCCGAGCCAGCTGTGCTTTGGCAGCAATGGACGGTGGCGTTGGGGATCTTGATTTTGGCTTCGGAGGAATCCTGGGAGGTGTTTTATGTGGCAGCTGTTGCCCAGCGGCACCATCTATGACCATCTCAACAGTTGCAATTGATCTGGCATCAAAGTGGGCTTCTATCTTCTGTAAAAGATTAAAACAAAGCCCACGTTGAGGAGGAATAGCTGGGGACGCAACAGCCTGAAAGGCATGAAAACCAAGAGTATAGAAAAAATACCTTTTCAATTCGGGTTTGTCTTGATTCTGAAATCTGAGCAGTCGAAACAATTGTCTTTGTCTTTTTAGCAGGTACTTCTTCTTCACCTGTGGGAAGGGAAAGATGAATGTTTAGGAGGGGGCACAATGACCCATTTTAAAAGACATTCTGTTAATTCTGACTACAAAGTCAAAAAGATTTTCTGGGTATCCCAATGGAGAAAATTGCAGAAAGTTTTAGATTTTGCATGAATATAAATTAGGTTTAAAAATAGAAAACATTCATTACTAGATAAAAATTTACTTAGAACAATTTTTAAAAATTTCATTATTTGCCAATAATTTGGAAATGTAGATCACTTAATTGAAACCCTTTCCAGTTTATAATGAGATTCATAAGCACAGATTGCTTCCATTCTGCGCTCCTGCCTAGAATCTCAGGGACTTTTCATGGGTGTCGAAAAGCCGGCTTTTGTATTAGCTCACAGCCTTCTTCCCAGGGCTGCGAGAGGTGGCAAGTAAACCCTTGGTCCCACTTCATCACAAACCAGCTCTCTCCCCTTCTCTCTGTTCCCCAACCTCCAGCACATGCCTTGAACCAGTAATTCAGCAGTCGAAGTAGCTCTTCCAACGCTATTGGTGGCATTTACTGAATAGGTCCCTGAGTCTTCAGGGTATGCTTCTGCAATCAGTAAGCTGTAGAGCTCGCCTTCTTGTGAAATTTGGAAATCAAGGGAGCTCTGGATTTCGGCTCCATCCCGGTAGAACTTCACCACAGGTGTAGGGATTCCAGTCACTCTCACTTGGAGTCTCACTTGGCTTCCTTGTCTCACGGTCATGCTCTGCAGTCGTTGAACGAAGTTGGGTGGTGCTGTCTCAGCTGCGGGGGCAAGAGAACAAAGTCAGGAGTGAGAGCCAGGGTGCTCCCCACAAGGTAATTTTTAAACAATCACAACTCCAATTCCAAAACCAGGTGATGACTCGCCAATCTAAACATCCTCAGCTGTCCTTGAACCCAGTTCACCCAGCGATGACAGCAAGAATGGAACCAGGAGATTACAGAAGGCTTTCTCACCACCCTATTTTATTTTATTTGCTTTGTTTTGCTTAGCAGTTTAGGCCAACACTTTTTGTTTCTTTGTTTTAAATAAAAGCTCTAGATTTTGTTATAACATTTCTTGAGACTCTTTCTGGCACTTCTCCTTCAACCTCACATCTAGCGCTCTATTAATATGTGAAGGCCATGTTGCATATTCCAGTAAGTTGCATTAAAATGAATCCCAGTGGTTGCTATGATGGGTGCACCTGTTACTTAAAGAATCACTACATTTTTAATTTAATTTTTAAAATCCTAAACTTTCTCCAACTTGATAGGTATTCAAATAACCCAAATATTTACTTGCATTTAAAATGTTAATCGCAATAATAACATTACTTTAATTACATTACAGAAAGAGGATTTTTTTGGTTATGTTGAAAGAAATTTTTTACAAGTGTGAGGAGTGAATGGAATTAACTTTGACATGATTTTGAGTAATAAACAACAGCAGGTGCTGCCAACCCTGTGCATTTTCCATTCATGAATTTTCTGGGTACATGCTAAAGTTCTACCTGAAGTTACTTGATGTGGTTTCTGTTTAGGTCAATTATAGCCCTATAATTGAACCTCACTGAATGTACAGTTTATTGGATAAGCATATGTAACTTTATGTAGCTCATGTAGGATATTGTTATAAAACATGTAAAGGCATGCAATATTCTGTATAATAATGTCTCACTAGGTAGTAAAGGATAGAGAAAAACAACAGGCCACTAAGATTGGTGATAATTTTTCTGGGGAAACAGTGTCATGTGTTTGAATAATAAACAAGCATTTGTTTTCTTCTGGGTATGTTTACATGCCTCTTAAATGGGTGGTCTGTAGACCACCGGCATCAGAATTATCTGGATACTTATTAAAGTGTGAATTCCTGGAGATTCACATTTTCCTGGAGAATATGTCTTATTCCTTAATAGACTTATAAACAAGGTTCCAAGCTTTTCTACTTGCTGAGAAACATGACTTTCAATATTTCCTTAACATACTTTTGAGTGTTTAATATGTGCATAGAGAAACTGATTCTCAGCCACTTTTATGATGTATCCTAGAGGAAAATTAAATTCCAAAAGGCAAACAACTTGGTTACAAATAATTCAGCCTCCAGTAGACCCTTCTCTAGTTTAAGAGCTGCATCTACCTATGCCCATAGCTTTTTCTGGACCCCTTTCCCAATTTGCCAGAGATGTCCTCTGAGGGAGCAGAGGATTGGCAGGTCCCCACCAGCCTACCTTTCACGAGAAGCTCAGCAGTACTAGTCGCTTGTCCAGATCCATTGGTGGCTCTCAGGGAATATCGTCCACTGTTGGCTTTAGTCACGGCGGGGATCGTCAGTTTAGCGCGGCCATCGCTAAAGGAGATCTGCACGCCGGGCAGAGTGGAAGTGGAAATCACCTGGCCATCCCGAATCCAGCTCACCTCAGGAACTGGAAAACCTGAAAAGCAAGAACAATTCATCTTTAGGTTTGAGTGGGCACCGCAAAGTCCTCTGCTGTGTCCCATCATGTTCACTGCCTTGTCCCAATCTGTAAAAGCTTTCCAGCATGGAATGCCACTTAATGATAGGGAAAACCCAACAGTTGCATGATCAATGTGTAAACTTGCAGACCATTAGGAAGGCAGGAAGGGAGGCAACTGAGGCCAAAAGAGGCCTAATGATTTTTCCAAGGTCCTTCAGCTAGCAGTGACACAGAGGGGACTAGAATTTCCTGCCTTCCTGCCTAGGGCTCTCTCTGATGCAATTTAATAGACATCATTAAAATCATGAAAGGGACTTATGAAAATGAAGAACCAAGGAAAATTTGAAATGAAAAGTGACTGTTGTCCTCCTTGAGAGCAAGTGAAGAACAAAAGCAGCAAACTGATCTCCAGGTTCTGCCTGACAGGCCCAGGAGGCATGTCCTCCTCTCTCTGTGGTTACAGGGACACTGTCTTCTTGGACTCTTCTGCTTTCACAAGTGCAATCAGTAAAAACATTGTAACACGGACAAGCAATTTCTCATAATAAGAAACCTAGTCTTTCAGAACAACATGTATCATTGGAATTGCAGCTGGAAAGCCAAATTCTCTTTATCTGCCATAAATTGTAGAGCCGAGAACTACATGTCCATGGTTTGAGGTTTCAAATATATTAAAACTCTGTACATTGAGAATGTATGAGGCACATTCAGAGCATGATTTATTTTGCACTTGGCATAAAGGTTGATGCTTTATCTACTTAGACTGGGAGGTAAAGATAATCTAGAGAAATTCTATTTTGTTGTTTATACATTAGCCAATCTCCCACTATGGCCAATTAAATAGTTTATTGGACTGATTTATGGGTATTGGATATTTTCAGTAGTGTCTTTGTAACAATTTATTTGCATATAGTTTGAAGGAACAAGAAGATATGAAGTAGCCAGATTCCACTACTTCTCAAGGAGGCAAATTCCCACTGAAGTCATATGTGTTTCAAAGTTCAGAAGTTATTGAGTGCTACCAGATAAATAAGTAAATTATTTGGAAGTCAGTAAGACTTTATCATGCAAGAGGGAATTTCATTAGTCTATATATGTACAATAGAAAATAAGTAATGATTATATGATATTTGTGCAATGTAAAATAAAGTATTATCCAGTTATGAATAAGATTGGTGCATACAATAGAAAAAAAGAAAAAAAATAAATATTATTTTATATCTTTATCATAAGCCATAAAATTTTTAAAAAGAAGTGGGCAATGAATGATGGAAGTACACTAAATTAAGAATTAAGCATGATTTTTTATTAATCCATATCAATCTTACATGGCTAGTTATAATACTACAGAAAGATAAAATATTGATTAATTTTAAAATTATTTACAATATAGTTCATAAACTACTCATTTATTCATAAGATGATACCATTTTTTTGAACCATCCATAAACCCAGTTATGAGGAAGAAAAAGAAAGGCAAAAAAGAGATGAACTTCCTTTCAAATAAAATTCTAGCATTAGTGTTTGCTTCCTTTTAAATATAGAAACCCGAGAAGCATATTATTTTCTGTCATTTCAAAATGATTGGAGTCTTTTAACTCATTAGAATCACTCAATAAAGACTGAAAATAAAATAATAAAATAATGAGGAGTTGGTTAATTACTGAACAGCTCTGCCTCTGAGGAAAATTAGATGCACTGTTATTTTGCATATGAACCAACTGAAGTTCAGGTGTCCAGAGCAGGCAACCCAGACCGCCTACCCAGTGGCTCTGTGGCTGGCTTCTATTGGGCTTGAGTTCTTGGCTTCCAGTCTGGCTCTGCAGCTGAACCCAAATATAGAATGACTAAATTTGGTCCTACTTAGCTGCTGGATTCTAACAGCAATTTTAATCCAACGCTAATTATTTTTGCTTTGTGGAATAACAAATATGAATAAAACATTTTCAAGCCATTATATTGTCAGATTTTGTCAGTACTCTGTGAATGGTATACCCTTAAAATGACCTTTCCATAGTGTTGGACTAATTTACCGAAGTGAAAGCAGGGCTTAAACTTGGCATCAAGTCCTGCACTAACGTTAACTTACTGGAGAAGAGGCAAAGGAAAAAAACCAAAAGTGTGGATGTGTGAGCTTACCACTAATGTGAGCCTCAAAGGTTGCGGTACTACCCTCCAGTACCACAACGCTTTGTAACGGCTGCGTAAACGTCGGTGCTTGAGTTGTCATCTTTCTAGGCACTCTGGAAAAGAAGAGAAAATAAATTAGGGTGTCCCAACTAAGGGTCACTCTGGAGCTGCTTTGCAGATAGCAGAGACACATGTTCCTCCAAATGGATTGCTCCATAGGTCGTCTATGGGCCTGAAGTGATGGACAGGTCTTCTCTTTTGTGGTTTGAACAGTTTTGCATAGTTCATCATTGAGTTTACTTAAAGCCTAACCCAAAGAAGCAAGTATAAGGGGAAATGGAAAAAAATATTAGCCAAACAGAGCAAGGAATGAACCCTAGTGGTCAAAGAGGGAATATACATTCTTACCAATAGTGGAAAATCAGGTTCACAGTTGAAGAAAAAGAAAACCACAGCAATGCAGGGTTAGTGAAGTGTAATTAGAGAGACAAGACATGTGATAAATGTCAAATAAACCTCTGGGCCTGGCGTGGTGGCTCATGCCGGTAATCCCAGCACTTTGGGAGGCCAAGGCGGGAGGATCACTTGAGGTCAGGAGTTTGAGACCAGTTTGGCTAACACGATGAAACCCCTGTCTCTACTAAAAATACAAAAATTAGTCAGGCGTGGTGGCGCATGCCTGTAGTCCCAGCTACTTGGGAGGCTGAGGCATGAGAATTGCTTAAACCCAGGAGGTGGAGGTTGCAGTGAGCAAAGATGGTGCCACTGTACTCCAGCCTGGGTGACACAGTGAGACTCCATCTCAAAAAAATTAAATTAAATTAAATAAACCTCTGCATCAGCTTAATGTGTAAGTGACAATTATTTTAAAAAATTTTCCTTTTCCCCAATATTTTTCATTCACTCTATATTTATGAAGTTGACATTGATTCAGACATTATCTGATTACTTAAAATAGTTGCCAGAAGTAAAAATCTGGACTTTGCAATTTATTTCCTGACTGGAAAAGCTTTGGCAAGCCTTATCAAATATGCAAACTTTTCGTAGACAGCATACGGTGCTTTTTATTTCTTAACATTTCTTCATACTGTAACTGTGCAGTAAATGTTGCTACTGCTGAAGTAAATATTCAGAAAAATTTAAATTTTAGTGAACAGGCCAAAGTTTATTATAGATCTGAAAGAAAAATGCTGGCTCGAGTTCTTAATATGGAACAATTTGCAAACTTTGAATAATGGAAGGCTGGTGTAAAATGTAGATGAAGTGAAAAGGCCTATGCTTTCATAAAGTAAAATATTCAACATCAAAGAAACAAGTATGAAATTTGCAGTTAAGTCATTTTGTTAAGTGCAAGAAAGTACTTTGCCTATCAGTTTCAGAGAGATTATGTGAAGAATTTTCTGATGCATAAATACCTAATTATTCAACATGACTATTCTGTTCTGAAATAGAACATTTCTGAATTGTCAATCACTTCATTACTATTTTTCATTAAATTCTTTGTTTACTAAAACTTCATGGAGCAATAATCTTCTCAGTGAGAATTCTGTTTCTTATTGTAACTTTCTACTTAGTTAAAACAATGAAACCAGCATTCTCTGAGACAATAAAATTTATATTTGGAAAATTCAGATAATATCCAAAAGCTTTCATAAATTTTTTTGTCAGAAACTCCTTTTCGCAGCATATTATCTTTGCGACGAACAACTTTCTGTGTCTAACTTTTTCTGTTTACAAGCTAGTACATCTAAAAATATCTGTCTTCTTAGATATAGAATACCTAATTATATATCTATGTATTACAGGCATTGACAATTAGTAATTGAATTCTAGGAAGATGAGAAATCAAAGTGTATTTAGAAGTAAGAAGCCTTTCCTTTAAACATTATTTCTTACCCTTCTTAGCATCAACATTTATCTAAAAATATATAATTGGACTGTGCGCTGAATTAAAATGCATGAAGAGATTCTGAATATTTTAGAAAACAATAATAGCTTTTTATTCCAAATCTCTAACTATGTTGCAATTAACCAGCTTAAATTGATCTTACATGCCTATTGTCTAGGTAAATTTTGTTGCTTTAGCACTTGCTCTTCCCAGGCCTTTGTCTAACTGGGGCTGAAGGTATGCATCTAAAATGTCATGCTCTTAAAATAAACTCTCCTAAACTCTCCAAGGTTGACTGACAGCAGGCAAGTGTTGTGTCACTGTCCTGCAACTGATACCTCAGCAGTTGATTCCCTTAAAAAGTCATTAGGGTGTAGCTGATACCACATGCATTTTATCAGAGCTATTCTTGGTGTGCTTCACTTTATCATTGAGTAACATAACCTTGAACATTCTCAACAGACAAAGAGAGTCTAGACAAGAAGTAAACATTTTTCTCAACATTTCAGACCTCAACTTTTAGAATATGAAGTGAACTTAAGCAATTTGAATCATGGAATCATTTAGCTGATATGCTAAAGCTTTCAACTTTTTAAGGAAAAATGTTCAGACATTTTAAAACAGAAGGTAACAAGCAGATTTAAATAATGGGTCAGCACTAGCAAGAAGTAGTTATACAAACACTTCTACAAAGGCATTTAGCACACACAAATAATCCGGAGCCAGAGATCAATAAGAAAGTGACTCTACTATTAAAATAAGAAAAGTTGCTGCTCACCTGATTTCTCAAGAGTGCCTAAAAAGGGTGGGACTAAGCCCAAGGTTGCTTCTGAAACGACGTCCTATGGAGAGTTGGTTTTTCTGACCATCTCCGACATGAATCGGTGAGCCTCTAATCCTAAAAACAAAACTACACAGTCAAGACTGTGTAGTTTTGCTTTTCTATGCAATCCCTACACCCGAGGCGAGGCTGGGAATGCACGACTGCTGAAGAGCCAGGGTCTGGCCTGCCCTTATATTCACCAGATCTGCTGACAGCCCCGCATCCTTAGGCAGGGCCCTGGGTGATTGGCTGTCTTAGGAAAGCATGATGGGAGAGGACCTATTTGGTAGTGTCACATACCACCTGTTCTTCTGATTGACAGTGCTAAATTTAGTACCTCAAAGGAGACTTTACCAAGGAAATAGAACTGTATTTAAAGAATAACTGTGTTGAGACTCAGAGAAGAGAATTGGTTGCTGATGTTAAAATCTGAAAATGCAGGTCTAAAGAAGTGTGACAGTAGATAGCAATTGTGGGCAGTTATACAAAAGAACCCCAAACCTGAGGACTCTGCCCCAAGTCAGGTCCCAGTCCGGTTCCCTTCCCCCATAAAACAAACCAAATGGACCTGTCAATCATGACAGCAGATGAGGGAATTTATCTCAAGTATGAGGCTTCACGTTCTCTGAAGAATCAGTTGCTATAAACCTTAGTGTTGAAGAGAGCTCACTTGTACTACCTACGTTCTCCAGAATCCACTTGTATTTCGGGGACAGTTACACTGATGTTAATGAGCTTATTGCTTATACAACCCTGCAAGAAATAATGTTAAAAGGCAAAATTGGAACTCTGCTTAGGTTAGTCTGCACAGTACAATGATTTCACCTTTGTCAGATTTCATTTTTGTCTGGCATTAATATTTACAAATATGTGTGCACTGCTCCTTAGTAAGTAGTCAGGTCTTATGCTTAAATCATCCATAAGGTTCTTTTTCCAGGCACATGAATGCTGTTCTGCTAATCTCTGGAGTTTGCTGTTACTAATGGGAAGTGGTTAGGAGATGATATAGTTGCTATTTTAGGACTGAATTTAATTTCAAGCAAGAGATATTTCAAATACAAAAGAGCACACCAAAAGATCTTTATAATGACTCAGCTGAGAGATTTGTGAAACTCTACTTAGAGGGAAGAAAATTGTCTTGTTGATAATGGAAAAAGACTTTTATCAATAAAAGAGACTAAAATTTTTAATTTAAGTTAAATTTCTTTATAAATTTATGTAATAAAACTATTCCCTGTTATGGAAGAATTTGGTCATGCACTAAACTTTTCAATTTCTTGAGTATTTCATATCTTATGTTTATTTATATAGTGGTTAATATGTTAATGTTTAACAGAGGTTAAATTTACTGACAACTAATGTAGTATAGTTTTATTAACAAGATGACACCATGTACCTATTTAAACATTTTTCTCCTTTACTTAAGTGGTGTATCTGTATTGGTGGCACCATTTCCACCCCCATAGGTTGCATCTGCTATAATTCTATTTGATTGTTTTATTCAGAAACAACTGGTTTCATATTATACACTTTGAAAATTATTCCCAGTGAGAGATTTGTGTTACAAAGAATCTGCCAGTCATAAGGCAAAGAAACAATAGAAATATGTGATCTTTCTGTTTTGGAGTATTCACCAACTGGTTATCTATTTAGGATATATTTGTGCATGTTTGTGTGTGTGTATATACTGTGCATGTGTGCATATTTTTAGACTCGTTTGATCTAATGTGAAGCAGATTAATGTTGTGTTATGTTCGTTGGAATTAAAGTCAAACCATTTAAATTCTTATGGGAACTAGAGGGAAGAAGTGACTATAATCTGGAAGCCTGCGTCATCTTGACATGATGCAATTCAGGTAACTCAAGAGCCAAGAAGACAGACCATATGTTATAAACCTAAAGTCAAGTGTCTTTCCTTTTAAGCTGATAGTCTAGTCATTGTTCTTTGACTTTGCTAGATCTTGCCTCCCAACCTACACCTTTCTCTCGAGCTGGATGCTTCCTGCCCTCAAACATCGGACTCCAAGTTCTTCAGTTTGGAGCTCAACTGGCTCTCCTTACTCCTCAGCTTCCAGACAGCCTATTGTGGGACCGTGTGATTGTTTGAATTAATACTTAACAAACTTCCCTTTTTATATATATTATATACTAGTTCTTCCATATATATATATGTATGTACACACACACACACACACACACATATTAGTTCTGTCCCTCTAGAGAACCCTAATACACCTTGCAATATTGTCAGGATCCTTGCCTTTAGGCCTTTATATGTTTATATGACATTCAGAATTAAGAAAAGAAAAAATGAATGAACAAAAGAAAAAAGAAAAGAAAGGAACAGTATATGACATTCAGAATTAAGAAAAGAAAAATATGAATGAACAAAAGAAAAAAGGAAAGAAAAAAGAAAAGAAAAGAAAAGAAAGGACCAGTCAGTAAATAACTAATATTCTGCTCTGAAAAAGAGTTCTTATTATTGGAATAGTAATGGACAATATACGATATCATGGTATGCATTAGTTTTAAAATTAAATATGCCATCGTTACAATTAGTAAACTAGTCTTGTGGAAACCAAATACTGGGCAGATTTGGGGAGTTTGCTGATGCAGTAAGATCTCAATTTACCACCCTAACAGTGGGGAGGAGCCACATAGATAATCCCAAACAGCTGATAATTCAAATGTAATGTACTTAATTTGGAACGCATGGCATGATTCTCTCTTTGAGCACAATATTCAATGAAATTAAGTAAATATTTATTAAACATATACTCAGTGCTGAGCACTGGGATAAATTATTATGATTTTGGATTCTGTCATTATTTGTTGATTTGACAAATATCTACTGAGTGGTGACTTTGTGCTGGGCATTGTACTAGTGATGGCTAGGCAGAGCTGACCAAGAAAAGACAGTTACAATAATTGTGCTCTTAGAGATTGTGGTCTACATAAACTCCTAATGAATGCTCATTAATCTGTGACTGAGACCAAGTCTAGGATATATGTAAAACTCAGGCAGTAACTCCAACTACATAGTCAGATTTTGTTTACCTTATATAGGACCATTTACAAAGGAAGGACTTAATGGGAGTTATTTAAGAAATGGATACAGTTTTTAAGGCCGATGCCAGGATACTAGAAGAGAGTAAAACTAATGTATCTTATGACTGGTTAAATTTTTTTGTGTGTTCTTTTATTGTATTAAACACAGTTGAGGCACAGAGACTATAGCAATGCACACAACACACAAAAATACATGCCCTCTAAGAGTTTACATTTTCGTTAGCACAGTAATATTAAGTGATATAATATCTGTAAATTCCTTTCCACTCATAAAACATATCAAAACTGAAATATAGGCTCATCATGGAGCTATTTTTAAACAAGGAAGTAGAAAAGCAAATTCAAGAAGTGCACAGGGAAAAGCCTGCTGACGAAAACAACTTATTCTAATGGAAGACAGTCTGTGTTCTTGGAGTTACAGAGGCAGAAAAAGCTACACTGGGAACGTGGGAGGCAAGAAATTGTTGCTTACAATTTAAAAGAAGACTTATTGTCCCATTTTTTCCTACATCCAGCTATAATTTCTTTAGAAGCAAGATCAAATTAGATTTACACAACTGTTTACAAGTGTACGAATAGTCACAGATGCATTTAACACCACATCGAATACAAAAAGATTATTTCAGACATGTAAGATATTTTTACCAAAGTAAGAAAGGTAAAAAAAAAAAAAAATAAAGTCTTGAATGTCTCAGTAGTACTGCTGTTAGGGGCACTCGGAATTTCACTCCTACTCTGCCTGGGTTTAGGCAACTCACTTGAATCTCTGTCTCAGATTTGTCAGGTCAAATTGGTGATTATGATCTTGATTTCAAAGAGTTATTAGGAAGATTAAATAACAGAATGATCGTGGCAGTGTCCAGGACCATGAGAATCTGACACATGGTAGGCATTTTGTTTGTTTGCTGCTGCCAAGCATGACACTAAGAAAATAATTTCTGTGCTTGGTTGTATTGATTTGCTAAATTATCTCTGACTACCTGATAAAATACACAAGATAGTATTTTCTAAGAAATCTTTGAGAAGTCGAAAAGTGAGCTCATGGAATAAAGCACATCTCATGTCCTTCCCTGAAGGCCCTCAGAAGGTGACATGACATTTATATGTGGATTAAAGCAAAGCCCAAGAAATACTGCAATCTTAAAAAAGAAATAAGTTGGGCTTCTGAAAGCCTGTGGCAGGTAACTATAATCCTGATTAGATCCAACCACCAGCAAACGCTCATTGGAGGGGATACTGCTGTCAAACATCAAGCTTTACACATGCTGAAGGGAAGCAGCCAGCCTCATTTTTTCCAGTAACCACTGCAGGCACGGCATCCGGGGACAGGGATTAAGGGCTCTTTCAGGGTCAAAAACATATTTGGGAGCTGAAAAATAAGTTTTGCTTTGAAAACAAAAAGAAATCTGCAACAAGGAAAATAATGGATGTTTATCAAATACCTACAAAAGAAGATATGTCAACTAGTCAACTGCACTTGAGATTGGTATATTTCAATGCATCTGATAAGCTCAGGGATGGATTTTCCAAAACTAAAACAATCTCTGTGGGACAAAAATCTAAAAATGGCCCTAAAAGAGGCTCTACAGTCTCAAAAAACAAAGGTAATCTTTGAAAGATTAAAGGCTCCTTGAGCCTGAAATTATGGTTCTTTTTTATGTTCCTATGGAATTCTTTAGTTTTTATGTGTCTGTTAAAGAGATTTAGGCCTTTTTACCTTTGTGTTTTACCCCATCTATTTCAAATTCCCAGATAAATTCCTCTTTCTCCCATTTCCTCACCTAATCATAATAGAATATTTTTTTAGCAAGCCCTTACTGTATCAGCAAAGTGTGGGGTGCTATCATATTCTCTGTTGCCCCAGCCCATCCCATTTGCTACCTACCCTGCTCCAAGCTACTCTGTACCTCTGGGAGGCTGACTCCTAGAGGAGTCCTCCTTGGCCCCTGTCTCTTATACACATCTGAATTGTATTGTCAGCCTCCTTGGCCCTCTGGCTTCTCATATGGTTCAGCCAATGGGAAGTGCTTAAAGAGAGAAGCTGGAGTATTCATTCCCCCTGCTTCCTCCTTTCCTGGCCATGGTTTGAACATGCCT